TATTATTCAATAAAGGCTAAAATGACCCAGAAAGATGTAGGAAATGAAGTGGGAAGTCTCTAGAAATTTTATTGTAGTTTTATTACAAAGCCTGAGGCCAAATGAAAGACTGTTGGACAGGAGTTTAAAGGTGAGTAGCTTTAAGTAGAGAAACGTGTCCTACTAGTTCTGATTGTTTTTATCTGCCTAAGTGCTTCCTAAAGGTCTAAATTAAATGTGTCTCATGCTGCCTCCCTCCCTCCCTCTTCACCCCTCCCCTAACACTCTGCTTCCTCTGTTTTAGACACAGATCAGGTATGGCACTTCCTTGGCAAGTGATTGAAACATTTGAAGTTCTGCCATTAGGATTCCAAACTCCAAGAACTCCAAGGCTCCATCTCCCCCAAGTGCTAGAAACAGGCATATCTCTGAGAATTTGCTAACTTCTTGTTGAAACTTTTTTTTCAAACGTTTTGGGATATGGGATGTATAAATAAACATTGAAATTTTTGAATTAGTCTCCTTTGGATATTTATTGACATGAAGATTTTGTTGAATTTCATAGCAGAAATTTAGAAGCATGGAGTGTTGACTGGTTCTAATTTCCATGGCTTAAGGAACCCAGTGATTTTATTAGCTTTTATTTCTATGGGTTAATGTAAAAGTGGTTAATTTAGTAAGTTAGTAAGATGTTTGTAGATATTACTGTTCTCATTTTCATACCATATTATCTCTTTCCAAGTCCACTGCTGCTGGAGACTTCATTTAGCCAACCTCAGTCCTCTTCTCAGTCCTGTGTAAATGTGTTTACATTTATTCAGGCTCTTTCCTATCATTTATTTTGGGGGTCCTAAACTCCATTTGATTCTTGAGTCCTCTTAATTTTACTTCTCATCTCTATGGTGATGGTTCCCAAATCTACGTAAGAAGCTCAGGTCTCTCTTCTGGGATCTGTCTATTGGACATCTGTTTAAATGCCTTTGATCCCTCTTGTCCAAAACTGAATTAGTTATCTTCCCTTGTTCTTGGACAATAGAATTAACATTCTCCTAGCCCCCTACGCAGGCCCTTGAAATCATACTGAACCTCTGTTCTCCTGTCTTTACTCAGGAAGATCATCTAAATGTTTCTCTGTCCTCTCCGTTCTTGACACCTGTGCGGTGCTGGTTTCCCCCTTACTTCTCTGGGATTCTCATGACAGCCTCCGAGCCCTCCTTCTTTCCTCCCAGCTCCTGCTGTCTGCCTCATTCCATTGCTCTGGCTCAATTTCATGCCTCTTGTCTCCTAGCCAAGTTGCTGCCCTGCCTCTGGCTTTTCTTCCTCCATATCATCCTCTGTATTTCCAAACAGTTATTTTCCTAAAGCATAGATGTTGCCTTGTCGTGTTTTTCTCAAAATGCCTTCAATGGCTTTTCATAGTTTTGAGAATAAAAATCAGACCCTGTGATTTCCACATGTCATATTACTCCTCTCCAAGCATATCTTGTATGTTTTAGACTCCGGTGCTGTTCTACTGCCAGTCTGTTCCTATATTTTTCTCCCTTTTTATTTCTATTATCATTATGAACACATTGCATTTACAGTTATATTTTGTGGTTTACAAGGCACTGCTATAATAATAGCTACCATTTCTTGAGCATCTGTTGTACACTGGGTGCTGTTTTAGATGTCATGTATGCATATAAGGTAGAGACTGCCCACTTCACATTGAGGCTCCAAGAACCTCTATAACTTGCCCAAGGGCACAGAGCTACTGAGTTTCAGAGCCAGAATTTCACCCTGCTATGCATACTGCTTCCCCCTTCAGCCACCTTGTGAAATAGGCAAAGCTCAGAGCTTGCCTGATTTACAGATGAGGAAACAGGCACAGAGTTTAAGTGATTAGCCCAAGCGAAATAGTAATATTCAGTTGAGAAGTCTCTGGGAAAGTCTGAGCCTCTATGAGGGACATCAAAGAATGTTAAGGAGAGAATCTATTTTTAATTTCAGGTATTGGTGGCTTGATATAAGTTATGAAAAAATAATAAAACTTAGTGAAAGATATAAAATAAAATAGAGAACAACCATTGTTTCAGTACAGTTGACCCTTCAACAACATGGGTTTGAGCTGCGCAGGTCCACTTACGTGCAGATTTCTTTTCGTAGTAAATGCTGCATGATCTGCACTACTCAGTTTGATCCAGGGATGCCAAGTGCAGATAAAGAGGAACCACATATACAGAGTGGGACAACTCTACGTTATACACAGAGTTTTGACTGCAGGGAGGGTCAGCTCACCTAACCCCGTTGTTCGAGGGTTAACTGTGGTTGTAAATATTAAGCTGAATTATCAAAGAATAGATTAATGGTTTATGGCATGTGGCATATTAGTCTCCTGAGAGTTGGCAGAGAGAAGCCATGTCTGCTGGGTGTCTTGTGGCACACTTCACACCTCGTAGTCGGCTCCCCTCCTCCCAGCAGTCAGTGGTGCTCAGATGCTGCCCTGTTAGTGAGTGAGCCTTGCTCACTACAGCACAGGTAATCCCAGCTGTCTCCATAGTATATGATCTTACATAGTTATAATCCTAAATATGTGACTCTGAACTTTAACTTTTATTATAAGCATCTTTCTACATTGCTCCATAGTCATCATATTATGATGCTGACAGTTATATTTCAGTGAGTGGCTATTTCATGATTGTTTCAGAATATCTTCTGGACTAGCTAATCTGATCTTCGCCACCCCATTCCCACAGAATGATTAACTTGAATAGATTTTATACTATCTACTTATAGAGGAAAAATCCTGCGAAAAAATAGAATGAATCATTGTTAAAAGTGCCCCAAACAAATTAGGAAGCCAAAAATGACCCATGGATGAAATTTTAGGCAAACACCCACAGCCAGTTTCCATGGAAATGAAAAATCAAAGAGGTGGGCTGTCGAAGATCGGTTTTTCTCAAGCTTGCTTTTATTTTACTCTGTGAAATTTCTATGAACCTTTCTTTATTTTTCAGTCATTTCATACATGATACATTTTGTATCACTCCATTATTCTACAGAAGGAGCACACTGGATTTCATAAAATCCAGTCCTCCATCGAGGACTGCATGCATGTTTCACAGTTCGTATACTCACTAATAGCAACATTTGATGATTTATCCCCAGAAGGGGTTCATTGCCTCGTCATAGGTCAAGAGCCTCAGGTGACTGCTGATTTACCTCTGTCCCTGATTAGTGCTGTCTTTCTATTCAGTGGATCGCATCCTCAAGTTCTGGGTCAGGGTCTGTTCTTTTCATCCTTTTTTCTATATTCCATCCAAGGTATAGATGAGTGTTTGCCAGTGGGGTCGATGAAGCACCTGCTCCAGAGTCACTTGAATGCTTCTTAAAGTACAGATTTCTCCCTTTCCCTAAAATCTGCTAAATCAGAATTTCTGGGAGACGAGGCCACAGACTTGTTTTCCCTGCCACTCCCGTGGGGCCTTTAAAATTTTAAACCCATTGGTTTAGATAATCAAGGGTTACATCATATTGAGAATTTCTCCATGTTAATGTTCTGTTTGAGATTCTCTACTCTTAAAAAGGAGAAAGAAAACTAGATGTCTGCCTTTGTAATGGACTCATACAGAGAATATTATCACTGCCTCATGTTAGAAAAAAATGAAAAGGAATAAAAATTGTATAAAAATTATACTAAGTTTAGTATTAAATTTCAACAGTGTTTTGGGTTTCAAGTCTGAAAAATGTATACCTGATGAGAATCACTTTTGATTTCTAAGTTATCAGACATTAGATAAAGCGAGCCCATTATAATTGGCCACTGAGCCCCACACCTGGCTTCTGTCTTCCTAAGGCACCATGAGAGAGAGGCATGTGCTTCTGTTGCGACAGCCCTGAGGAGTCGAAACAGGTAAGTGATGCAGGCAGAAGTGGAGCGAAACTCGGGCTGTTGACTCCAGGACCACCTGAAGCCCTGTCCACTGTATCTCATTGCTTCTTGAGCTCTTTCTTATCCTCCAAGTTCAGCTCAAATGCTGCCTTTTCTGTGAAACCTTCCCCACCCTTCACGTTGAAATCAATCACTTTCTCCTCTGAGAAAGCGTAGCAGTATTGATTTATTCCCCCATTACAGGATTTTGGTCACTGTAGCTGATATTAGAGTTGTTCACATTGCCTCTGCTGCTGGATTATAAACGCACTGAGAGCACAGGTTGTGTCAAGACAATTTTAGTCTTATTGTTTTACACATTAACAATTCATGCTTGTTGTATTAAATTGCTACAGCATCCTGTAAGGAAGACAGATATTTTTTCCATTTTACTTATTACATTACGTTTAGAGGTTAAGTGGATTCCTGGAAATCACCGGCCTCCTGCATCTGAAGTCAGTGTTCTGTTTCTGCAGCGGAAAGCATTTTGAGGGTATCTCTGCTCTGTTCCGAGGCCATGTAAGATCTTTGAAATATAAAAATCTCTTCCTTTTAGGGATCTCCGAAAGAGGAGATTTAACATATCTAACCTAAATACCGGTGCCTTTAACTTTATTTTTGAAGTATATAGACCTGATCACTGTACTCAGAAAACTCCTCACAAATCTTTAAAGCATGAAATTAAGCATTGAATCTCTCTCTCTCTTTTTTTTTGCAAGCTGCATAATTCTTGCCTCTGAAAATTCTACTCATTGATATTTTTCTTGAAATCCTTTCTATTTTATTGTTTTTGGGGTGGTGGTTGTTTGCTGTGGAACCCTCAAATGAATTCAGCAACCATCTTTCTAGTGTCAAAAGAAAAGAAAAAACCCTGATACTTACTTTTTATGCAGTCCATATACTTTTTAATGCCGCCTAGAATATTATCTTATGCTTTCTGAAACAATGATTAATGTTGCTCGTTTTTGTTTTCCCAAGTGAGTAAGTGATATCCAGAATGTAAGACTCTTTGGGAAGGGTCTTATCTATTATTAGTATTTAAGGCATTTGAGGGTTCTACACAAGATTCCTCTAATGCCCCAGGGAAGAAAAGTTCAGCTGGCTTAAAAACAGTACCGTAATTGTGAAAATGCTAAGGCTGATCATCACATGTTTACTGCTGCTTTTTTATGGAATATGAGGCAAAAATAAACACGGAATACTTCAAAATAAAAATAGACTCAAGGCTCAAAGGCCAAAATTCTTGTCCCAGAATGGCTTCTTACGTGGGGTTTGGTATAATTATTGATAATAACTTCCATGTTTGAAACTTGACCTCCCGAACCTGAAAGCAGAGGTAACATATTTTGATTTTCAGAACAGAAACACCACAAGATCAAAAGCCTGAATAATCTCGAGTGGCAGAACAAGTAAGATGAATATGTAGTGAGAAATTAGAGAAGCGCAATCCATGTGGCTCTGATATAAATAGTTCAGTTGATAAACTCTCATTAAAAAAAAAAAAACAACTTCTAACTCCACTTTAAACTCCACTGTATTTCAGGGAATATTTTCTCACGGAAAAGTTAGTTTTCCCTTCCCTTCCCACAATATTAAATGTCACTCTC